ATGTTTATGCTTGTACCATTCTGTGTGCCTTCATGGATCAGAAAGCATCAACTTTTCACCAGTGAGGAGAAGATGAAATGGATATCCCTAGTCAGTATGAATTGCACTGGTGCAGTTCTTTCATCTCTGGAGAGCAGAGCAGTGATGCAGACCACCCTTGCTGTCATCAGGAGGCTCCTACCAAACACAGTGCAGATGTCTGTGTCTCGGAGGGAACGTGCGTGATCTCCCGTGGTGGGGAGAATGTCCTGTCGCCTGTGAGGAGCCTGACGCTCCTGCATCCTGAGGACTTCCCACAAGAACTTGGCTTCCAGGAAGGATAAAAATGTTCGTGGGAAATAGCATTGCCTGCAGTAATTTGTTAACTCTGTGTTCATCCGAGTTTCAGATATTTACAATGTCTGGGAATGTGTTAAATTGTACCTTTATTGAAAAAGTAAATTAAGAAAAAAAAAAAAAAAAAAAAACCTTTGATTCTTTCTTGTGTGGTTAGATATGTCATAGGGAACAAAAAGAATTTGCCAAATTCTCTCTCTCATATTGGGTACCGAGGAGTTTGCACAGCTGTGTTTTTCTGATAACGTTTTTCTACATCTGGTCTATTGGCCTGTGGTTTTCCTTTCTTCCAGAGAGCCAGTTAGTGGAACCTGGTAACGTTATTTAAACTTCCTCAACAGTAATACCCAAATAATGATTGCTCCAACTCCTGCAGTATTAGTGAACTGCCCTGGAGAGCGGTCCAGGCGGAACCTGGCTCTGCTTGCATGTTTGGGAAGCTGGAACTCGGCCTGGTCGGACTTGGGATGCTGCTGTGGCTTCGCAGTGGTGCTGGGATCCCAGTGTCCCTGTGTCCCAGTTGTGAGGAGCGTTTGGAAGCGGGCAGGCAGGTGCAACGTGACCAGGCAGCATCAGATAGGGAGCCTGGGTCAGGCTGCTCGAGTGGCACTGTGTGCGTTTTTAATGCAGTGGTAGTGTGACCATCAATAATTCCAGTAGCAACCTGCATTTAGGTTGATAACAACACCGTTACCAATACAAAGGCTCCTTTTTTTCCCCCTCTTCTTTCGATTTGGTAGCCCTATGAAACAAGAAATCACTGTTTTATTGCTACCTGTGCTCTCACTTGCACATGTGAGTGATTCTGTCTGGTAAGAGCCAGCATCCTTTAGAGAAACAAACAAACAAACAAACAAACAAACAAATAAATAAATAAATATCATAGGCATAGGAATTTAGGTAGAAAACAGTTTACTGGGAATACCTATGGAAATAAAAGATAAATATATGGTCCCACTTTTTCATTAATCTGAGACCTATTCCTAGGAGTATTCTCACTCTGAAAATGCTAGACAGCTTTTTGTTTTTCCAGATAAACTTGCAATTTTGGTAATAGCTTTTCATTTGGGGGATAGACTGAGTTCTGGCAGATGCGTTAATTCTGAGTTTTCTCCCCACATTCTTTTCTCTGTGGAAAGGAAAGCCTGCCTAGAGGTCTGCCTAGTTGAACAGCTGCCCAGAAGTTAGGCTTGGCAGTCCAGACCTTTCCTTCAAAGCCATTACCTGACTGCCTTCAATAAGTGATTGCTTATTGAACTGTTATTCTCTAGTGCAGTTAATATGTGGCTCAAATGTAGCTTAAATTTTCAAGTAGCAGAATATATTCTTCAGATCAGGTGGTGTTATGTAGAAACTAATTGACAGCTGTTCTCTGACACTGCTATAGTTTGTTTAGTGTTTGACTAATAATAATTTTTATAGGATATGAAAGAGTTTTAAGAATCAGCACAGGAGTAGTAAATATTGGTTACCAAGAACTGAGCTTTCTGTACCAATATTTAATCCAATTCGCTCGTAATGTTTTTACAGTATGACAACCATTTTAAACAGACTCAATAGCAATTTCAGGCCAACCAAGTGACTTTTCTGAGTAAAGTTAGCAAGTTTGAAGGTTTGTTATACACAAACATATTATAAAAATAAAAGAATTAGGCTACTAACTGCTTTTCAGATTAAACTCACCTTTTCCTCTCCACCTACTAAGACTTAAATTAAATCTGCCTTTCCTTGATGCTGAAGTATTGTGTATTTAAAAAATCCAGAAATTATCCACTCAAGATGGGGAAATATTTCATTTGTGTATCCTATTAAGGATTGTTACATTTTCTAATAATTAAAAGGAACACAGAATACTCAGGGGATGACTAAAGAAAAGGACAGTAGTCAGAAGTAAGAGCAGAAATAAAATGATTACAAATAAGAACATACAGTGTAGGAACAGATGTTTCCAGTGGTGATGTATGTGTGTGTTTAATCTTAAATCATTTGGAAGAAATAGAATTTTCCTGTTTCAGAAAGAGGGAAATTATTACAGATTCGTTTCCTAAGGAGAGGAGTTCTTTGGTAGCTTAAGAATAATAAAATAATAACTGATGAAAAAATGCACAACAGCAAGAATAAAATAGAATACAGGAAAAGAAATTGAAAGGAAACCTGTGTTTTAGTTATTACAGTTTTAGATATTCTTTAAACTGTGATACTTCTTTTCAGCAAGATTTCTTCAAAACCACAATGGTTTTGCAAAACTTCCAACAGATCCCCACTAATGGGAGAAATTCAGATCTTTTATATGTATACATGCACACAAAGTAGGAAGTATCAAAACATAACAGATGCATTATCTTTTCTATTGAAGAAAAGCAGTCATTTTCCTTCCAAGAATTTATTGTCTCGTGCTATTTATGTCTATCTTTCTCCAATCTAATTGCAATACTTGGTGAAATCTACCCTGCCTACATAAAGCTTAACTTCTGCAGTTTTATTAGACAGAGACCAGACAGGTAACATGTGTAAAATCTACCCTTCTGGTCTCAATGGCTACTGTGCCACCCTATGAAAAATGCCTTGGAACTGGATATCCCGGTGGCCTCTGGATTCTTTTGGCCCATCTGGAGCTGACTTTAGCAACCTGATTCCCTGCTGGGCTGCATGACACACCAGGAGAGCGCCGCTCCTTAGAGTGCTGACACTTGCCTACACCTGGCTACGTTTTTTCCTCTGTCTTTCCAAGGACAGACTGAAGGAACTAAGTTGAAATACAGGATTTATTAAAGAATTGCAGTGGATTTAAATGTGTTAATTTACAGGTAGTTCCATAACCAACAGAATCTGAAGATGTGACTTCAATTGATTTGTGTGTCATTTTTCCTTTGTACCTTGTCTAATAGATCTTGATCAAATGCTGTAGCTTTTCCCCCAATAGAGGAATGAGTATAATTTATCTTCTCCTTTGAGCTTTCTGTTTCATTATACTTATAGGAAATTGATATTTTTACTTAAACTGCCAGTTTAAGTAAACTAAGATTTATGAAAACATTAAATAGTTTGGGAAAGACTGGAAGACAGTATACAAAAAACTTGCATGCTCCTTTGCTGTTTAGGAAAGGTTAAAAGTTAGAGTGAAGAGAGAGCAGGAATGTAGAAAGGATGATCACATACACGCCTCCAGATTTGAAGGTTTTTGTTTGGTCAAATGTTTGGTTTGTTACTACTCGAGCTGTTTGTTACTGATCCTCAACTGGATTAATTGCTGAAGATGATTTGGGGGAAAAAAAACCCCACCACCTACAAAAAATATTTTGTATTGAAGTGGAATAAAAAATACGGAAATATCCTTTGTAGCTTCTCAATTCTGTCTGAATTAACTTCCAAGTAAGAGGCAATAGCAAGACAAGATTGGCTGTACCTTAAATCACTACAGCTTTATAACGATTACGTGACTTTACCCTTAATTTTTGACTTTGAGGTTGGGGGGATCCAACCTCAATTGTTATTCCCTCACAGGATTATTTGTGCATTATTCTTTTTGAAAAATAGATCTAAAGCCTGGACTGTTAAATATTTTTAATAAGTGTTATAAAGCTAGATGTCCTATGCATTCATCATGCATACAGTAGATCAAAATTAACATGCAATTCAGAAGCAAGCACTTTTTTTTCCAGGTTTTGTTACCTATTCACATGAGTACATATTACCTGGCTCTTGTTATTCTTTTTCATTTTGAAAATTTTAGTCTTTCTTTATGTTCTACTTTATTCCTTACTTGATATCTATCTACCTTGCAGACTCCTGCATGTGTTTGATCAAAACTGAAACTGCTGGTTCACTCAGGTTTTACATGGTTCATTGAGGTATAACTGACTTATTTTGACAATTTCCTGACTTTAAGTTCCCGAAGGCGGGAGCACTTTCTGTCTCCCTTTCTTTGTACTTTTGCAAACTGAAATTTCCAGTCTTCTCTTGCCGTTTCAAAACAGCTGCAAGGCACTGAATGCCTTTTGCATTCCTATGTACAATTCATGTGGACTTCACTGAAAATTCTTTTAATGTATCTACTTCCTGGAATTGGTTACAGAAAATTCTTACAATTTTATATCTTTTAAGCTTCAGTTTTCCTATTTCTCGTTAGGTTAGCTCTTCCTTTGCCAGTTGTCACTATTCGGTGCTAATGAAGTTATGCCAATATCCCATATCACATTTGGGATTGTCAAAAATGTTAAGCCAAAGGATAAAAACGAAAAAAAAAAAATGTGCAGAGTTTTCCTTTTTTACATTTTTTGAAAATACTTGTTAACCAAGAAGGAGAAACTCTTTGAAATCAGCAATTTCTGCAGCTCAGATACTTGAAATATATTTCATGAAAACTAAGTGAAGAAGTGTTTTTTAAGACATCAGACATTATGAAGAAATTGCTGACACTGTTGGAGTCTTATGGCAATGTCTGTTTTACTAACTGTTGTCTTATTCAGTACACCATAGACTATAGAAAATAGATTTAAAAATTAAGAAATAATGTTTTTAAGAACAGATCTTTGTTAGGGGTTTCCAAAGTTTATGTTACTGTTCTCTTTTTAACACCCTTGTTTTATACAACACTGAAAATACCCAGCCATATATCTGGATTGATTAACTGGAATAAATTTCATGTGTTTTTCCTCACCTAGGGAAATTACCGCTTCATGAAACTCCTGCTGGCTCGTAAAGGGAACTGGATGCAGAAAGACTTAGAGGATATGACACCATTGCATTTAGCTACGCGTCACAAAAGCCCCAAATGTTTAGCTTTGCTGCTGAAACATATGGCACCTGGAGAAGTGGATACACAGGACAGAAATAAGGTATAATATTGCATTTTTTAAGATACATTTTTAGCAGCTTTGGAAATTGGCTTCGCGTCTAACTGTTAGATATAAGTAATAAACTTGTTTTTTTTTTCTGTACGTGACAGATATTTTTTGACTCTTCAAAATAATAACTAAAACTAGTATTTTATTGATCACCATTAAAAGTATTAACATTTTCCCACCAATAATAATGTGACAATTCATTGTGCTGAGTTCACTGACATCCATGCTGAGAGTACGTAGATCTAATAGAGGATTCAGAATCCGTGTGTTTTAGGGCCGAAACCTTGCTGTGATGGTCCTTGTTAGAAAGTGGATAGGATGTGGTTATCTTGCTTTTCTTCCTTGGAAACATTCAGAAACGGATGCTCATCTGCCTTTATCTACCACCATTATTCTTTGCACTAGTCCTCTTAATTTTGGAGTGTTAGAAGGAATTTCAAATTAGGTAACACAAAGAGTTATGGGAAAACCTTAAAAAAGAAAATTCCTTTGGTGCTGAGCTAAATGCAGGTTTACTGCTGGAAGACATTGATCCTATCACTGTGTGATCTGGCCCTGCACTGGAGGCCACCAAGATTCTGTACAACAAAACATAAGGAAATGTTGGAAACCAGCTGCCTTTTGCACTGTTCCAGTCACTCATCCCATTTTCACTGTGTCCCTTGTGCTGATACTGAACTCTTGCTCTCTGGATCAGCTTACCAGTGGCCTGGAAGGGCCTCTGCTGTCAGGGGAATTCTTAGTCTAAGAGCTGAGAGAGGAGAACAAATCTGTGAGGCACATGCTCTTCACCATCATCTTCCTAATAAGATTTTCTTTTTTTTTTTTTTTTTTTCCAGATTATTTAAAAAATCAAGTTTTTTTTTAATGGATCACAAACTACTTCTTAGAGATTTTCACTTTGGTGTCTCTTTGCTATCTAATCAATGAGAGGTTTAATAAGAATCATGTTCTGCAGATAGTGACTGACTTCATCCTTGTAATACCAATGCAGTGTTTTGCTTAGTGTATTTTCATCGTCCTAGAAGAAGGCATAGTTAAGAGAAGGGCATAGTTAATAAGCTTTCTAGTGGTATTACTTCTTAAACTTTGAAATTCTGATCTGGTCCTATCATCTAGAAAGCAAGATAAGGCAGATGCAAGTCCAGTTTCTATAAAATAAATCATTTCCCTCCTCCAAACAACAGGATTGAAACCTGCCTCTGCCCTAGCAATTAGCTGCTTGCCTTGCAGGATATTCTGAATTGTGGAAACTCTGTGGAAAATCACAACAGTCATGCTGGGAAAGTCATGCTGACTTCGGACTGCATTAGTTAACTAACAAAGCTATACAGAAACCAGCCAAAAACTTTTAGGAACCTTTCCTTTTGCTCAGCTAATTTTCAAAATAACATCAAAGCATTGCTAGATTTTCCACAAAATGTAGAGCACCTTTATTCCAGTTCACATCATGAGTAATCCCAACAGCTAAGATGTCATTCACGTTCCTTGAAGGCACTCTCTGTGACAGTGTCCAAGAAGCTGGACTCTATTGGGCTTGATCATTGCTCTTATTGCAACAACGTGCATCAAGACTATCAAATGCACTTCCTGATTGTAACAGAGAACAACTGTATTATATAGTGATATTTGTGTAGGTAACGGCCTGAAAAGTAAGTTGCATATGAGAGAAATCAGTAAATAACTACTGCATTGGCTAGGTGTCCTCATAATCAAAAGTTTTGCTTTCATTGCAGCTTCAGTTTCTAGGGATAAAAAGTAAAATAGATAAAAAGCTAAAAAGCTACCATGGTACTAAACTAAGAGCTTAAAATAAAAAAAAAAATAAAATAAAATAAATGAGCCCCTTTTTTGATTTTCTTCAGAGACATTAAGGATAGGCTAGTGATCTTATGTGTTCTGTCAGACTATCAAAGGATGCCGATACAGATTATTGAGGAAATAAACCCAAATGTCCTGGTACAGCTATTTCTCAACACTTTCAAATCAAAGTACTACATAATATTTTGCTGGCGTGGGGTAAAGTGATGAGGAGAAAAATGTCCCTTCTCTCTCTCACTGCCTACTCCTACTCAGCAGTTGGGAGAGATGTCTGATCAATAAAGTTCTTGTTAATCTACAAATGTTCTACTGTTTTAAAAAGTGTTTTACTTACATAGTTAGGAACATTTCATGATGCCTGGAAAACCCACTGACAATAGTTAAGAATTGGCAATAGGGGCATTCACTGTCTTTTGATATTTTATTCAACTACTCTTGGTTGGGGGAAGGTGGATGGAATAATATTGATCCTATAGACTTCGGAATAACTGCTGACAGTGCAGAACATCAAAACTTTGTCTCAAGGTGGATCTAAGTCCAGAGTCAGTATTTAATGTACTTAATAAATTAAAACATTAATATTAAAAAAAAAAGTTTTTGTATAATTCTCATCAATTTATATTATTCCAAGAGATTGCCAAATTTAAGAAGGACCAACTCTGAGGTCTTCTTGAGCTCTGGCTTTGAGGTCTGCTTCAGATAGCCAACTTGGACATGATCATGTTCTACCAAAGTCAGGTATTTTCTCCAGCTCTGAAGGTGTTGTATCTTATGACATTGTCCTGTTTGTTAGCCAAAGTACCATGAATAGAGTATTCTTTTTTCCTCACGCAAATAAATTAAGCAACTACCAAGTTAAATGTCTATAAAAAAAACCCAAAACACCTTTTATACCAACTATAAGTGCTTCTAAGTGTGGTTGTCATGTAAGATAAGGTAGCTTAGACCTAACTCAGGACTTAGTATGAAAGATCTGTGAGTATCTACTCACACATGCTACTCACATACTGAAGTAGATGGGACTCTTGCTCAGTATTGTTTAAAGCCCATTTTCCAATGATTTTGATGTCGCTCATTCTAGGTAGATGTGTTCCATTTTTTGTCAGTCTTCTATCAAAATTTAACGAATTATTGCTCATTTCCTCATTGTTCAAGGAAGTTTTCCCTATTTTCCCTGGAATTTATGCAAATGTCTTTTACCACACAGTGACAGTGACATACAAAGACTGCTGCCTACCTGAAAAATACTGGATTATCCATGTTAGCTGTTTTTTTTTTTTTTTTCTGTGTAATGTAATCATTTGATAACTATCCATCCCTGGCTTCCAGACTTCTTGGGATTCTCCTCAAAATTATCAGAGAATTGGGGCAGTGTCATGGCTTCTCCCCATATATTGCACAGGAGCACGAGGAATTGTAGGATTCCCGTGGAACGAAACGTGTTGTTAAAAATAAAGCCTTATGTGACTGAGTAACTTCCAGGACTGCAATGAAATCAATGATACACCCCCCAAAAAAACCAGTAACTTCAGAACATATATTCTTGTGTTGAAATTGTCCTTGTTGCAGTAACAACTGTTAGTAAAACAAATGAACAGGATACACAAACCAAATTGTGAAGATTATGACAGATATGAAGATTAGAGCTACCTAGAATAAAGCCATACTAATTAAAGATATAAATGGATTGAGATTTGGCCTCAAATACGTCATATATATTATTCTGAGATTTATTTGCATAGTTTTTAATTCCATAATAGATTTTTGTTCCATAATAAATTAGAAGCCAGCCCCTTCTCAGTAGTATCCAGTGAATGGACAAGAGAAGGGTGTAAATAAAATACAATAAATCTGATTTAAACATAAGAAAAAACTCCTTCACAGTGAGGATGGTCAAGCACTGAATAGGCTGTTGAGAGAGGAAGCTCCAAGTGTCCCAGGTGGAGGCTCCATCCGTGCACATACTCAGAACTCAACTGCCCTCAGCCAAAGGCAGCGGCTCTTCCTGCTGACCCTGCTTGAGCAGAGGACTTAGACTAGATCATCTCTGGAGGATCCTTCCAATCTCAACTGTTCTGTGTGATTCTGTGCAAGTATAATCTAGATAGTAAGAATGTATTTCAGGCTCTAATTGATTTTGCTTCTTCTATTTCTTTTTTTGACTTTTTTTTATAAAACTTGTGAATGTTGTGTCCCAGCAAACTGCGTTGCATTGGAGTGCCTACTACAATAACCCAGAGCACGTGAAGCTTCTCATAAAGCATGATTCAAATATTGGAATCCCTGATATCGAAGGAAAAATCCCACTTCACTGGGCAGCTAACAACAAGGACCCTAGTGCAATTCATACTGTGAAATGTATTCTGGTAAGAAAGTCTACTACATGTAAAGCTTTTTGCATGCATTCCTCTACTGAAATAAAAACTTCTGATTTTTCTTTTTTTGTCTGCTTGAAATACTGGTAATTATCCTTGCTGTAAATCATGAGTTATGAATACTGTTCATAATAATTTGGTGTTTCACTGTACATTTTAGGAAGAGGAGGAAGGAAGAGTTCACAAGTTCTCCCTGTTAGAAAGGCCAGTCATATTAGTCATGCGAATTGCCTTGTGCACAGCAAGTTCTTTGTTGTGTGTCTTTTGTTTCTCATTTGCAAGTTTACTTCCAGTTAACTGTATTGAGCAGTCTCATTCCTGACTGTTGAGTCAGAATTGTAGGATGAATGTGATCAATTATCAGCGAGTCTTTGATCAGTTTACTGAGAGACTCTCCAAAAATCTTTCTATACAGATTAAATATCCATGTATTTTTTTGCAGCATTTCAGTTTCATTTTCTCCACTGACAACTATAATGACTACAATCAGATTTTTAGCTTGATTTCGACCCTGATTTTTTTTTCTGTGGAAATCATTAAATTCAAGAATGTTTAAAAATACAACAGTTACATTGGTGGTGTTCTCTCATATCTATTTCTGTTTTTTTGAAATTGACTCAGAACTAGGCACGTTCATTGTAAGCTAAATGTAATGATTTTTATGCCTGTCTGTTTGACTAGCTTGCAAGTTGAGAGCTTAACTTGTGACCTATGAAAAGTCAATTTGAATCCACTCCCATCTTCCCCAGTCTCAGTGATTATCTTGTATCAGTTGTATTTTTTCCACTATTAAATAGCTCTTCACATGCAGGTTAACGCCATAATTTTTCAGCTTCTTTCTATGAGGTGTTTATAACATCTCCACCCATACAGTTACAATTTCTGCCAGCTTGTGTCATGACTTATGTTACTACCAGAGTTCACCAGGATATTGTCCTGTAATGATAGCAGTGCAGAAGGCCTGGCTCTCTGACTTGAGCCAGTGTTGCCTCATTTTTTAATATATCCAACACAAACTATTTATCTTCATTTTCATGAGTGCAATAAGCTGTAAGCTACATGGCCTGGCTCAGAAAGCAGTCAGATGTTGACATCAGTCTGCATTGGTAGCCTTTGTTGCACGTTCACTGCATTATGGTATTGTTCTCCTGTGTTATCTTTATCAGTTTGGGAAAAATCTAGAGAAAATGGTTGTTCTCCAGTGTCTTCCTTGGACATCTCCAATGCTGTTTTACATAAACTTGACGACAGTTAAGCTGCTGGTTTTATTAAGACCACAGTCTGTGATACTGCAAATATTATCTTGTTTTTGTGTGCTCTGTTATCTGAATGTATCCTTCTATTGTCTCCTCTTTGAAAGCTTTCAAAAGTGAGCAGGAATCCCTTTTCTCTTTCGTGTTTTTACAGTGTTTAGCCCAGTGTAATCTTGCCCAATGACTAGAGCTTCTGGGCATTGTGATTGTAAAAAGAAATAAGAATGAAAAGAGAACCAAATGCTGAAAAAGTAGGTCAGATTTCCAGGGGTGGCAGTTAGGCACATGTGGTTGCAGCCAATAGTGAAATCCATGAAATCCAGTGGAAATGGAGCACATAAGGCTTATAGGTCTGGATATAATAGAGATTTTATCACTGAAAGTGTAATAATATTAGTAATAATTAATAATAAAAGTAATATTGCAGGTTATGGGGATGTATTCTGTGGAACACAGTGCCTTTCAGACAAAAGTTTTTGTGTGTCATCTATTTGACATGTTTTGTTAAAGATTCTTTTTGTTGTTGTTTTGGGAGGATCACAAATTAGCTTTCCAGATCACATCAATAAATTATAGATGAAGAGAAGAATTATTTTTTTTCGGTTAGTTTATTTCATTCAAACATATTTTCCTGTGATGTGGTTAGAATTTCAGTATGAACTTCTGTTTGAATTGTCACTGCTATTGAGTCATGCTTTCAAAATGATTCTCCGAAAGATCCGTCTGCATTTTTTTTGCAGTGGGCTCCATAATGCCCCTGCTAAGCAATTTGAATAGACAGAAAATAAGCATGATGTCAGTTAGCTGTGTCCTGAGAGAGATTAAAGAATGGGAAAAGCATAAATCTTCACTCTTCACTCTAATGGCTCAGATCAAATGCTTTTAAATACTCATTCTAATAAGCAGTATTCATGCTGTGATCATTCTGGTTTCTGTATGTAACAACATAAAGTTCAGTTTTACTTTTGGTAAGACAAATTCACATTTATCAATTTTTTATTTTCCTAATGTTCTGTGATTATGCTAGTGGCTGCCTATTATAATGAACTACAGTGTGTTTTGAGTAATATTTTTTTTCTGGCAAGATTTGGCCACTAATATTAGTATATAGTTTACTGATGTGGGTGCTCGTATAAACTATTGTGACAGATTTTTCAAATATGTAACATGGGGCATTTTAATAGTGGTTTTGTGCAGTATCTAAAACATGATATTCAAATAAAGTACAACAAGGTAATTTAAGCTGGCATTGTTAGAAAGTAAGACAGGAAGGAAAAAAAAGGAGGACATTCCAGAGTTGAGCTTGCTACTGCAATATTAATTTAGCCAGATTACACTTAGGAAGTATGATTAAATACTGCTCTAAATATATCATTTTATCTATTAAATAAAACCTACAGAATATACAACCATGGTAAATTAATGTTGCATTAAAAAACATAATTCTAGAATTTCCTGACTTTCTGCTTCTTGATTTATCATTCTCAGTGTGAGATATTTGTAATACTACATTTTAAATAATGCAAATGCAGTTGATTTCTGGCCTGTTCATGTATCTATTGACGTTAGTAGGAAAAGTTGCAGTGAATTTAACGAGAATAGGGTCAGGAACTTGTTCTGTTTTGCTAACAAAATGTATTGATCAGAGTCTCTTCTTTCCCTCTCTGCCTCTCCCGCTGCTGCTTCGTACATATGTTGAAGGACATGGTCTGGCTCTCTATTTTCAGGATGACTTTTCTCAGTAGTCATCATAGTTTGAGACCCAGACTAAGGCTGAAAGTTATTGTGAATTAAATTTGCTTCCTCAGTGAATTGTTCTTAATTGTTGTTTTCTCTCTGTAGTTAGTTTATAGGCCTTCTCCTTGTAGTTAGCTTAAGGATTTGCTTAAATGTTCTGCTTGTGCTCCAGATTTTTAGTGTCCTACCATCTGGGTTCCTGCATTTTCAGTTTTCTTTATTTGGTTGGTTGTTTTTATGTTGAGATAGATAAGTAGATGTATTCATTAGAAATATTTTCTATCTTCTATGCTGTCACCTGGAGACCTTGGCATCTCCTTCGGGAATGGTTGGATAGCATTGAGGTTTTAAGATGTTAGAAAGTATTGTGATGAAAGCCATAAGATTAATTTGTGTGAAAATAAGAGAAGGAGAGGTCCTAGGAGAAAAATATTAAGATATCTATCTATCTATCATATGCAGCTTAGGTAAGCAGGTAAGAAGATGGAGTTGTTTTCACAAGTGCCTGAGTTAATCTTTTAGGGTTGCTCTGTAAGGAGCCACTTCCACTACAGTAGATCACAGGAAGTGTATCAAAGATCAAGTCTTGTACAATTTGGGACACACACACACACATATATATGTAAAAATATTTGGAAATCACCTATTCTTTAATGGAAATATTTGACTGTAGAGCTATCTTCTACAAAATACAGACAGTTTATCTCACTCTTATTGTAATATCTTTTGTGAAGTTTCTCTCTTCAGCTTAAATATTTTTTGATTTTTTATCTTTTTTAAAGGAAGCTGCACCTACAGAATCTCTGCTTAACTGGCAAGACTATGAAGGCCGAACTCCCCTTCACTTTGCTGTTGCTGATGGGAACGTAGCTGTCGTGGATGTCCTGACCTCGTACGAAGGCTGCAATGTGACATCTTATGACAACTTGTTCCGAACTCCTCTTCACTGGGCAGCCTTGCTTGGTAAAATCGACTGAATGCAAAAGTCATTTAGTAATCAACTGTCTGTGCTTTTTAATCTCTGTATCCTTTTTTTTTTATTTAATTCTGGCCTGGCATTGTGATAACTAATCTCTTAGAACAATAGTATTTGGGGTCTGCTAGACCGATATTAGATGTTCATGTGTTGAGTGATTTTTATCTTGAAATCCTCCAAAGGATTGTAAAATGCTGTAGCTCAGCAGGCTATATTGAGGACAGTTAGAAGATATTAGATGTTCTTACATAGCTGTTTGTGTATAGATGATTAATTTTTCAGGGAACTAGAACTCAAAAACCTTTTATTCTAGAGGACTGTATCCATCTGGTGAATTTTATCTTGAAGGATAAACCAACCAAGACACATTGGTCTTATAGTAGAATCTACTTGGTAGTCTTGAAGATAGTGATACTGAAAACATTAAAATTGTGGAATGCTGTGGACTTATCCACAAGGAGCTCCAGCCTCTTCACCAGCTTCGTTGCCCTTCTTTGGACATACTCCAGCGCCTCCATGTCTTTCTTGTGCTGAAGGGTCCATTCCATTTGGCAACAGGCTTATGTTTTCCATCCTCAGTATTTCCTAGCGAGGGAGAGCTAGAAACTGCCCTTTTTGCTTGTGTTCTTCTCTTCCTTTGGTCTCTGGCTTTCTTGATATCATCTCTGCATGTCCAAGCAATGTTTCTAAACTCTTCCTGTGTAACCCAGGCCTGCTGTCATCTCCCATATACTCCCTTTTTGCATTGGAGTTCCCTTTAGCATTTTGGAGCTCCATCTTGCTATCTTGAGCTGCCTGCTCAGCCAAGTCGGTCTCCTGATACGTCTGTTTGTGTTCCTGAATATTGGGATGAACCATTCTTGGTCTTGGAGAGTGCTGTCCAGGAGGATTTGACAACTTTTCGGAGCTCCATTACTCTTCAGAGATGCCTCCATGAGTTCCCAGCTACCAGCCTTCTGAGTAAGTGGAACTCTGCTTACCTGATTTCCATGGTCTCTTCTCTGCTGCTCCTCACAGTGCTCAGGAACTCCACAGTTCCATGGTTCCTAAAACCAAAATATCGTTGTTGTTACATTTCTAACCAGGCCTTCTTTCTTCGTCATTAGCAGATTCTTCTGTGCCCCACCTCAGTCCACCCGGTCCTGCTGTCCCTCCGAAGAAGCCCCTTAACGCAGTGACAGCCCCTCAGTCACAGCCCTCCAGCTGTAGCCCAGGATGCCATCTGCTCCAGCACGGAGCTCTCCTTCCAAGGCCAGGACACGGGTAGCTGCATCCCCTCTGCACCTCTCTTTGTGTTGAGTCCTCCACATGCCAGGGGGTCTTCCATGTGCCTCTGTGTGCCAGAACTTCTGTTGGTGCTGGGGGCTCTGCCCTGTGCTCGCAGCATGCTTGGCTAGTTGAGTATTTTTAAGGCCTTTGTCACTCCAGTTTTGAATGGATGGAGTTTCCACAACTTCTCTGGGCATTTATTTCAGTATTTAGCCTTTCATATAGTGAAATGGATTTTCTCTCTCTCTAATGGGAATTTAATGCAACTTGCCTTCAGTGCCTCTTGTCTTATCACTGTGCACCTTTGAGACGAGTCTGACTCCATCTTTTCTACAGTCTCCCTTCACACAGCTGTAGAGAGGAATGAGAGATCTCTCCTCAGCCTTTCCTTCCTAAGGTTGTCCTGACTCAGCTCTCAGATTTTCATGTCGTGTGTTCCAGCTGCCTGACTGTCTTGGTGGTCCTCCTTTGGACTTAATCCAGTTTGTTAATGTTTTCTGGATACTGGCAAGCCCAAAGCTGGACAGCATCCCCCAGATACAGCCTCACAAGTACTGAATAGAGAAGAATCAACTTCCATCAAGCTGCTGGCTACACTCTTGTTAATACAGCCCCGCTGTGATCGTCCCTCTTGCCATGGGGGCAAACTGCTGACTGCTATTCAGCTTCTTGTGCACCAGGACCCCCAGGTCCTTTTCTGCAAAGCGACTTTCTCTCCAGCTGGCCCCCAGCCTGTATTGTTGCCTTTATTCTTTTTCTTCCATGATATTTTTCTTTTTTTTTTTTTTTTTTTTAATGAAAAACACAAAAATACAGGTTTAACTTTTCTATTATAAGGAAATCTTGCTAGATTTTACTAGAGTCATCTTTAGCAGTAGCCCTATTAGCTGGCAAATGCATTCACTAATGGTAAAAATTACTGTGGCTTCTCCTAACATGATTCAGTTAAATTTTTTCACTGTTTGATGCTGGTGGTGATTCAGATAAAGTGTTTTTTGTTATTGTTGTTCATATTGCTAGCCTGATGCTCACATGCTCTGTACATTATAAGCTTGTGTATGTGAATTCTGTACTGTTTGTGTAGATACAATTAAATAGAGATAGTATAAATAGAGAAAAATGCAATTCATAATATGACAAAGATAAGAAGATTTTAAAAGTTGACCTCCTACGTTCTGTCCCCCTCATTGCAGGAGGAAACAGTAAGCAGAGTACTGGATAAAAAGCAAAGAACCTTCAAACACTCCTATTCTTTTTTTAACAGATGTCTTCCCCCTGACCGTTTGGGGCACTGCAGAAAAAAAATCAATAAAAGAATCTGATTTCTCAGTGGAATGAGTTATTGGAGCTCCAGTGACAAAATACATGCAGTATCATTAAGTTTAGGACCCTTTTTTTTAGGGCAAGCAAACAAAAGTGTTCTCAAATTTGTATTTACACTCAAATGCTGGTACTAAATTTTTATTGAGAAATTACCTATAGAGATGATTACCCATCTTTTCCAAAATGTATATTCTCAATCTAAAGATATTCAAATCTATTTTGATGGAAGTATGTATGCGTCAATTTGCTGTTTCTGTATTTATTGTAGATAGGGTATCTGGTAATAGAATATGCTCCAAATTTTGCTATACGTTTTCACTGGGATTTTTGTTTGAATAAAATCTAACTAAGTAATCCACACTTAATTTCTGTAAAAGACTGTCCTATAGGATGAAATGTTGGTTGAGTTGACCATTTAAGCAAAATACATGGAAAAATGCACATCATAATCAGTCTGTGCTCACTTTATTGTTTCCGATGGACCTCTCACTCATATGCAGTGCTATCAGCTGAGCTATCAGAACTGTATTTGAAAATAACCTTCTTGCTCCCTATAATGTAAATATTGCAGTTGTTAGACCAAATACAGCTTCTTTGTGTAGGGAAATCAAAGATGATTCTTTTTTTTGCTCCAATGATTTCTTTCTCCCTGTTGCTATTCATAGGTCATTATGGTTTACTGATGCCATGTAAGAATGAGGACACAGAGCTTGGAACTAGAATGCTCTCAGGAAGAAAGGGCACGACAAGATTATTCGTTAATATAGCAAGTCTTACAACTTTCTCCTCATGTTTAGACCATTCACAAACAATGTGTTTTTATTATGTTGTTTTTCTCAGGTCATGCACAGATTGTACATCTTTTACTAGAGAGAAACAAGTTTGGAACTATCCCATCTGACAGTCAAGGTGCAACTCCGCTACATTACGCAGCACAAAGCAATTTTGCTGTAAGTTGTACAGTCCTATAAAGTAAATACATTTTGCTGTCATATTTATGACATAAGTTATTCTATACTGTAGTTAATCTGTACACAGTCTTACAGTTTTTAAAAAATACAAAATGTTGTCTGCACATGCATAATCCATGGTTATCCCAAGTTAGGCAATATATACATGGCTGATTTCAAACTGTTAAAAATAAAATAGATTCCTTCAATTGTATCATTTTGAAAAAAAAAATCTTCAACATTTTTGCATCAGAGTACACTCTAATAACTTAGGAATTTTTAAAGGAAGGAGAATGTTACCTACTGTTTTACAGTGCATTTGCTTTTTAAGAGTGGTCATAGGAAAATCTAGGAACTTACAGTATATCTAGAGGGAGAACACTCATGTGTGCTTATACAGTTGCTTGTATCTTTAATACCAACCAAACTAGTCTTTGACTTTAAGTAGTGTTTAACTTATTAGTATTTGCTATTGTAAATGTAGTCCTTGTGTCATAAGGGATGAATAAAGAGCAAGTAGCTTTTGTCGCAGTTCCTGTGGACAAAAAGTGTGCAGCATTCAATATCAGTGGATTAGCCATTCCAGACAACAAGCAAATTGGTTCCTCAAATGGACTAAATCTGATATTTTTGTAGAATCTATAATTTCTATCCAAAGCCAGATGAGTTAGAGTGCAGCTAAGCCCAAAATCCGGCACTTTAACGGTTGCTGCTAACAGTTCCCAAGCACTGAATGATGCTTGGGAAGGCTTTTCCCCATCTTCTTTTTTTCTCTTATAGTTGAATTATACTATGTATAGTAAGTTGAGAGTTTTTAGGCTCTCACTTCAGCTGTATTATTCATAACTTGTCTTTACTACAGGGTCTGTCCAGTTGATGTAGTTGAGCTACATATTGTAGCCTAACCTTTAACAGGGATACTAATTTGAGTCTCACTATCTAGCCACATGCTAAAATTCATAAATGGTAAAGTTATAAAATCCCTGATTCAAATGCCTCAAATAATTGCATTGTTGCTTTTCTTTCTGGTTTAAGTCAGACTTGTTGAAAATTCAGAAGGATTTAATTTACAATCTAGTGATTATCTTCATATGCTTTTATTCTTTTTTTTTCCTTATTAATATATTCCTACAAAGGCATTTTTTCCTACTGGGTTTCTTTCCCTGAACTTGATTCAGTTGTATGAAACATTGTCATTTTTTACCACCTTTTAATCCAGATAGTCAATCAAACCTTAACATCTTTTATATTTTGTGTGGAAAGCAGAGTAGGTGATGGAATCAGAACCAGACATTCTTTTGTATTCTTGTGTGCTTATCATGACTGTAGTGTTTCCCATATTACCTGAAAAACAAACAAACAGAAAAGTCTCATTCAGATCTGCTGACTTTTAGTTGGTGAGCTGAAGGTTCCCGTCTCCATGTTTCCCTCAAGGGCACCTCCTGTGCCTGCCTAAATTGTCTGGGCCCTCTCTTTTTCCACCTGCAGTGATTTCCACCTGTGTCATTTTCTTTCTCTCTTACCTACGAATCCTTCAGTAATTCTCTCTACTGTGTTCCATACACGTAGTTCAAATCACTGAGTGGACACATCCCTATTCGTTCTGGCAGTGACATTTAAATATATATATATATATATATATATACACATATTTTATTGTTCTATATGAACTGCCCAAATGCTGCACAGACACATCATGCCTCTCAGTTGAAAATAGATGTTTCCCAATCCATAGCAAGAAGAAGGAAGAAGTTTGATCTTTTCATTATAAGTGCTTTGGTTGCTCTCAGTCTCAGCTTCATACCATATTGTCTTTTTTTTCCTCTTTTTTTTTTTTTTTTTTTTTTTAAGGCTGAAGAGACTGAGCTGGCATTTAATTACGATGAAGAGCATCTTTTATAGACCTGCCTGTCTATGAGTGGGGACTCATTATATGAGACCTATGAATCCCACAGAAGGCCTAAAAACAGTCTTTTGAACTTTATCAGTAAAAGCAGATGCTCTGTTAGTGTTGGTTTTAGAATTCAGATTACAAGACTAAATATTTATTGATTTTATTGACCTATTTCTTTAAAATTTATCGTTAAGTTTTGCTGCTGTTTTTCTGTAATGTCCAAGGCAATGTATTTATCTTGCCTATATTGGTATAGATTGACCTAGTAAATGAAGTGTGGATTGGCTCTATATTCTGCTTGGATTTTTAATATTTTTCATTTTTTTGGTAGCCTAGAATGAAAGGTTTTATTATTCTTTTTCATCCTTGTTTTATACTTTGTTTTCTCCATTTTTACAAAGGTAAAACAAGCAGTTTTCATGAGGAAGTAAATTCAGAATTGAAGTAAAAAATGCTTGCTTGTTTGTTTGTTCTTTTCTCAGGTTGCAATATCTTCATTTTGAAAAACAACTCATTGGGCAGTATGGGATTTTCTACTTTTTCCCATTAAAAGGATTAGGAAAACGAGAGTTAAACAAAAGATCAAATTGTAACAGTTAAAGGAAAAATAAAATTACTTATTTATGTTTGTAGGACTTGTGCCTTTTTATTAGAAAGGTGCAGCCTTGGTACTGCTTTTCATTCTGCAGCATTTTGAGGCAGTGCAGAGCTATAGTGGGGCACTGAGTTGTTGGCCCCCGAGTACCAGAGATAGTGGTGCTCAGTGTGAGAACACAAAGCTAGTAACACGGGCTGATTTTTCTTTATTTGTTATGTTTCAGTAATTCAACACCTGATAATATTAAAAGATATTAGTAAAATAAAAAACCTCTGTGTTGCCTCAGAAGTCCCTATGTGGTCAATTTAGTCAATTAGTGTTTGGAAAATTAAAAATCATATTCAGATTTGAAGAAAAAAAGAAATGTGGAAGAAGTATTTTAAATGAAAAATATTTTGGCACTGTAATGTTAGAGTAACATTTTGATATGATCATTAATTACATTTTTCCCATCATTTCCCTTACAGTGACTGCAATGCCTTTCATTCCTTTACCATAAACCCATGATATTAGATACTAAAGGAAGAGGATAATGTGAATAATAGTGTTAAACTTATAATGAAGGATACAGATATGAATGTTGTAGAATAGAAGTGCATAGCGGAAAATACATTGCTCCTGTTGAGTTATTACTCTATATAAACATAAAAAGGAAAAATGAAGCTTTGTTTTCTTCACAAACAGCTAAATGGGACACAAGAGTTTCTTGTTGTTATAAATTCCTTTGAATGTTAATTTCAGTGGTATGTCTTTTCAGGAAACAGTGGAAGTATTTTTGAAACATCCTTCTGTAAAAGATGACTCAGATCTTGAAGGAAGAACGTCCTTCATGTGGGCAGCTGGGAAAGGCAGCGATGATGTCATTAGGACTATGCTGAATCTGAAATTAGATATTGATATCAATATGACAGACAAGTACGCTGGCACAGGTAAGGCATGCTTTATGGTAAAGAGACACTGGGTTTTTTACAGTTGTGTGATTTACATAGAATGAAGAACCTTGAGGAATCCTTAGTAGTCTTTTCCTAGACTTGTGCCTCAATTCAGAAAATATTTATATGTTCATTTGTATATACTTCATTGTATGCATACATTCATCAATACTTCATTGCTTTGTTGTGGGAGAAAATAAATCTGTTTTGTACAAATGAGACTGATTTGTTTGAAACACAGTAGGCACATTTAGTAAATCTCTGATCCTGGGAAATAAAGAGCTATTCCATGTTTTGAAGTATAAAATGAGATATAATTACAATAAAAAGCCCTCCATCGAAGTGCCTTTAAAAATATGTATCTGTAGGTAAAATATAACTTTGAAAGACATAGAACAAATCAGTGAAGTGGCTGAGTCATCAACATGAAAATCAGAAGCAAATGACTTCTTACAGAGGCAGCGTAATAGAGATTAGAGCTATCGCTTTCCTTTGGTCTAAACCAAAGCTTACACTTGGTAACCCCCAAGAAGTTAATCATCCCTTTAGCGAAGAGAACGATGATGTATGTGCAGCTCAAACTTTGGGAATTGAGGTACCCAAGGGAAAACTCTTGCAGGACAGAGCCCTGGGGCTGTGAGACACTTCTCTTGGCGTGGAGCAGCCTCCGAGAGAGCAGCTCCAGCACTGTCCCCAAAGGGGTCCCCTCCTTTCCTCTGCTGTTTTCTCCTCTCGTGTCTCTTCACATTCCTGTCCACGGGTCTGCTCGTGTGTGTCCGGCCCCAGCAGGTGCTGCTTTTCCTTAAATGTGAACTACCCATGATGGGTAGTTTATGCCACGAACCAGACTTCATAGGTAATATAGGTAATACTGTACTGGGGCTTTTTGTTCTTCTCAGGTCACACTTATGGCTTCTATTCTATTATTAAATAGAAATGGTAAATGAATGCAATATCAGGGCTGCATAGTTCAGTGTTGAAAGACAACAAATATGAATACTACTTACAACTTGAAATTACTGCCTCCTTTGTGTGCATGGGTGTCTTTACTTAAAAAGTCAAATACTGTTACTATAAAATTCTGTTTAAAAGTGTAATATTTTGCTTTACTTACAAGTTAACATACCAAAATTAAACCTTTCAAATTGAGATAGTTTCTATTTTTAATTAAAATATTATGTGATAAATAAAATAACAGTCTTCTGCTTTAGAAATTGTATCCTACTCCATTTTAGCCTTGTTTCATCTTTTATCACTTGCCTGCATTTGCTCCCTGCTGACAGCTCCCTTTCAAATCCCATGCAGTATGTGGCTCAGCCTCTAAGGTGAAGCCCTGTTATGTTGTCACTGCGCTTATTAAAGCTCCTTAGAAGAGGTTTTCTTCCGTATAGGCACTACTCACATGTTACATTTTTGAAATTACTTAGGTGTAGATTTTGTGCTTAAATAATTCAGGTGGTTTGTTTTTATCATCCTTTAGTCGTAAGCCTTTCAAAGCAGTCGTGTAATACTTTCTAATCTGGATTTTGCTTTAGGGTTTTTAATCCAAAGTCATTAATGGATCTGCCATTCACATGAAGTTGTCATTGAGCAGAGCATCCTAACAGTATTAAGTTCAGAACTTCACCATTCTTTATTGGTTTAAAATAATCTGAATTTTACCATTTTGCAAGCACGTGCAACACCATTTGCTTTTATCACAGTGAGCTATCAAGTTAAATGGAAGTCCACCAATAAATCACTTCCTGATTTCATACCTGATTTTCTTTTCTACAGCTTCTTAATCGTTCTTGAGGTTTGGGGAGGGAAAAGTAGCGCTGTATTTTAATGGGAAACTGTGGAAAACTGTGTACATGCCACTGGACCTGGGATACAGTTGCTGCGGAGACTTAAGTCCGTGGGGCTTTGCTTTTGTGTACGGCTCAGTTAAGCTTAGTTATAAAGTTGCATTTCCCATTTACATAAAAAGAGCGAGCTCTGCCCTCAGCTGAGAGCTCCGATAGAACATCCAGCCTGTCCTTATTGTGCAGGAAAATGACACCAAGGGAAAGGAATGTGCCCGTTGTCAGAGCGCCGCGCGGCAGGAGCGTTACAGGGCCCGCTCTGTAGCGCTGCCGTCACTGCGCACAATGGCGAGGGCTCTGCCTCTCGGGCCCACAAAGCTCCCATTGTGCCCAGCTGGGCAAAGAGATCCCGTCAGTCACCGTGACTCCATCACAGAAGGTCTGGCTTGCGAGACAATGTTGAGCACAAAGTGCGAAACAAGATGCCTGCGTCAGAATGAGTGATAGAGGGGGAGAAGCGGGCCAAGCTGACACAGCAGCTCTTTTTCTATTGTATTGTTGTGCACACCCCATGTGCCAGCTGATTGAGTGGTTTACTGCCTTGGGTTTCATAAGAAATGCAGAACAAAAACCAGAACCTAAGGTTTACGGTGAGGTCAGAGCCTGAAAATCAGGCCCGTTGCTGCATAGAGCCACCTCCCCGCATTGCTAGCACAGATACTGGTGCTTACAGGTATTTCACATGAGGTTTTTTACAGCAGATTAATATTAATACTGTCTTAAATGGATGATTTCAATTACTAAGGCAGCAACTCCCATAATGACTCTGGTATGACCCTTTTTCATGCAGTAAGTTCCTCTTCTTTCTATATCACAAAATTATTGTCACTAAGTTTGAGAATCCGTGATTTTAGGCCACGCACCTCAGCTGGATTTGATTCACTGACTGTGTCAACAACTGGGCCGTTTAGTAGGAACTGCAGAACAGGTTACACTGGGTTACTGGTTCATCATCAGGATGAAGGAGCAACAGTGTTAAACAGTGGCAAGCTCATAAAAAAAAAAATATATATATATGTATATATATATAGGGGGTAGACTTCAAGAAGCAGTTTGTTTTAGTGTTGGCCTTTCTCTATGGATGCCTCTATTGCATCCTGACCTTGCATTGCTTTTAGCAATAGACTAAAAGATATATGGGGCTGTTTAAAGCCCCACGTTTGGCTTGTTTGAGCAGTGGAATTCTCAGCAGTGATGGATACGTGTGAAATTTGTAGGGGAAACATGAATTGTACTCTACTAAATGTGCATTTATAAAACTGCACATTTTTGTATATTTATTCTAAGTTGTTTGTCATTTTATGAAATCATTTAGATGTATAATGTGGATAATGTGGAATGTGGATAATCCTATTAATTACTGAATACAACAAGTAATCCAAAGCACTCTGAATTCATTTTTAAGTGAAATCTAGAAATATGTGCCCTCCACTTGTTTGGGATGTCACTGCCATGTGTAGTTTGCCTTTCCTTCGGAAACAACCCCGCACTGCCTGTACTACCATTTCAATCCTTTCCTCAGCTCCAGCTGATACTGCCAGCAGGATGCGGTTGTAGCTGGTAGTGACCTCAGTTGTAGGAAACTTTCAGGTCTCACTCTGCCAAACTTGCTGTGTAATTTAGACTTAGTAGAGTCCATACAGACTGAGGGATGAGGAGACACAAAAAATGAAAGAATCAACTTACATGATTTTCATACAAATGAATTTCATTAATAGTATGGATAAGAGGAAATGGGGTATCTGCTCTGTGCATCATCTTCCCTTGCGTGAAAGAAACAGGGAGCTGCAGATACTCTATGATAGGTGATGGCCTTTTTACACAATTTTGTGTATTTTATTTTTCCAAAATAATTCTCAAAAAAGTGGGAAAACATCTGAGTGGCCACATGGAGTTAGTTTTAATTGAGACAGCTTAAATTATTTGAAAAAAAAATGCTGTGGTTGAAAATCAGCTTTGAAATTTTGTATTAATTTTTATTTTGACCATTCTAATCGCCAACCTGTAAAACTCATGATAAATGTCATTCCTGAATGCTTTTGCTTTTTCCTACTACTTTGCTCTTTTAGCATTACACGCTGCTGCACTTTCTGGCCATGTCAACACAGTGAAATTGCTGTTGGAGCACAACGCACAGGTCGATGCTTTGGATGTCATGAAACACACTCCGCTTTTCCGAGCCTGTGAGATGGGACACAAGGATGTAATCCAAACACTCATTAAAGGTCAGCCACTACCAATATACCAGGTTGCTCAGAATTCTAATGTTTCTTTATGTGGGACTGTGAAGTAAACAGCCTTGCTGGGCAAGGGAGGGGGGTAGGAAATTCCTGCTTTAATGAAGATATTGTCTCCAAGTGTATACAAATAGCAGATGTAGATACATCTAGTAGGTACAAATGATTTTCAGAACATTGTGCAAAATAGCCAAAGGAGATGAATGCAAAAATTCAAAATAGGCATGCTTGTATCTGCATCTCTTTTCTGCTCAGGCCTTCTCACATACATTCTAGTCTCTCAAACCACCCATATTTTATTCTGTTTTTTTCTTCCTTTTTTTCTTAGTAAGGCCAAATTAAGCTTCCTTCCTCTTTTGTAAGAAAGTATTTTTAGGCTCTTTTTGAAGGCTTTATGACTACATAAAGTTTTAGTTAAGATAGCTATCAGAAATGCTAAATCATTAATATTTTCATGTAGTTGTTTTTGGAAGCAGTATTTTGTTTATAGACAGAACCAAGTTTTAACGATGTAAACAGATTGAGTTAGTTGTAAAAACTGTCTTCATCTGGAATATAGCATCTTAAATAGCAAATGCTGCTATTTTAGCTCCACATAAGACTTCTGGGCAGGTTCAAAGCAGTCTGCCACCCACCTGAGAGGTTCACCCATTAATAACCAGTCGGAGCATTCAGGTATTCAGGCTCAGGTGTTGTGTGTTTCCTGCTAGACTCTGCACTGAAAAGCTGCCCTCATGATCTGCTGGGCATATTCCAACCTCCTATTAAGCACCTCCCTTTTCCCTCCCCATCCCTCCCTTGGCTTCTGTGGATGTGAGAAGCTTTATTACCAGAATCAGAGTTTTGGGTTTGGATTGAGTTTTTCCATCTCTCTTATAAGAACATAACAGAGAAATTAGTGAACTGGATGAAAGGCTACAAGCATGTCTGAATTAGAAAAGAAGTTTTTCAAAAGTCATTTGTACGTTGTGAATATTTTATCTTCTCTGGTTTAGTGATTTAAAAAGAAATTGAGTGATGCCCAATTTGCAAAAGTGTTTTTTGTCATTAAGGAGCATTAAAAATTGGATCTAGGTGCTGAAGTTGAAGTTACTCTGGACTGCCAGTTTTCCAGACACGTTCCAATTGAACATGAACTTATTCCTAGCATTCTTTTTTATGCATCAATTCTTTTTTTTTTTTTCATTCAAAAATGTATTTGTTGTTACAGGAGGAGCAAGAGTAGATTTAGTTGACCAAGATGGCCATTCGCCCCTTCACTGGGCAGCCCTGGGAGGAAATGCTGATGTGTGCCAGATCTTGATAGAAAATAAAATCAACCCTAATGTGCAGGATTATGCAGGTAGAACCCCTCTGCAGTGTGCTGCATACGGAGGTTATATTAACTGCATGGTAGTGCTACTGGAAAACAACGCAGATCCAAATATTCAAGATAAAGAGGTATGTTGTCTTTCACTGAGCCTTTGAATGAAATAACTTCAGTGTAAGCCTAAATCAAAACATTTTTCTTAAAGATCATTTGTTTTGCTGGGATGTATGGCGTCACTGCTGCAGTTTGTTAGGAAATGAAAGAGTCTGAACGTAACTTTCCCCTTGGCTTCACTTCTCATATCTTCAATTAAAAATAGTATTTTAATATGCAACATGAATTGGAGATGTGCAGTTTTCCATATTACCTCTGACTTTTCTATATCATGTTGTGACTGAGCAGTCATTTTAAGCATCATTGTTTTTAACATCTTTCTTCCTTACTTACAATTGACACAGGAATGTTATTTTATAGTCTTCAGTATGTTTCTTTAGGTTGCATATGCTATATAGAGCAAATGAAATATTGTGAGGTTTGATTCCACAGCAATTCTGTCATAGTCGTGAGAGTCATCCAACATGTCTTGGATGAGCCTAGAAAGCAGCATGAACTACAAAACTTAAGGATCGTTGCCTCAGACCAGTAGCCTAGTTATGATGAAAGCAACTTCAGAGCTTGCCTCCTAATGCTCTTTTTCTATTGCTTTAGATGAAATAGCACAAATGTTATAAAGCCTATTTCAAGCAAACAAACAAACAAAACCCACTTCATTCTTAAAATGTTCTTATTTTAACAAAAAAAATTCATTTATTTGTTCTTCATGTCCAGAAAAGCATTGAGTTGCACAGTATGATTTGCAACTTTTATTCCATCATGATAGACTTTGGGACTGATATTCCTTGGTTTTGTCCGTTTCACTGCTTATAGGGAAGAACTGCTCTGCACTGGTTGTGTAACAACGGCTACCTTGATGCCATAAAGTTGCTGCTCGGTTTTGATGCGTTCCCCAATCATATGGAGAACAGCGAGGAGAGGTAATGTTCATCTCATCGCACCTTTTTCTGACTTAACAAAGATTCTAGCAGCTGATTTAAGAAGTGGTAGATGTTCTGATATTGCCAGAGCATCGTGATCTTGCTCATATCTGAAAAGGAGTGTTGTAATCTTGGGCTTCTGTGTAGGCAGGTTTTCTCGTTAGAAAATATCTCTTCTTTAAATAAGGTATCGCAGATTTGACCTTCCACTCTTTATGCTTTTGAACTTTAAACTTGCAGGAGCTGCTTTTGCACGCTGCTCACTTCAGACACTTCCATGGGGATACTTATATAATCTAGTCCCATTCTATATAAATATTACGAATATTTTTCCTTTATATGAAACTGAGAATGGAAACATCTGACAGAAGGATAAAATAGGATTTCAGCTCATCTTCTATTTTGTAGGAATACAGTGAGATGAACAAAGATGGAATAAATATGAAGACATGTTTCAAAACAGTGATAACAAATGACCTGACGGTTTGACCGGACGATTAGGTGTATTCCAAAGGCCTATTAAAAAATAAAAGAGCCATGAAGATATAGTATATTTGCATATTTTTTCTCTTTTTTATGCTTTTTATTTTTATTTGCATCATCTTTCATTGATAGGTGACCTCCTAGTAATTGTACATAAACTTATGAGCAGTATGCCTCATAAATTGGAATATTGAAGGTTTTAAGTAATTAAAATACCATGAACGCCTATTTTTTAGTGCTATTTTGGGGACTGATATGCTTATTCCATTTTCATAGTTGCATGCTTTTCCCCCTATCATTTTTCCTTTGTTTTCTATGCTAATCATTCAGATCTCTCTTCCTTGTTGTCTTTCTTCTTTCTGGTGTATAAATCTAGATTATTTCAAGTACAACTAGCAGATCCCCAGAAGTTCTATGGTAAGCTTTTTTAAAATATAATTAGCTTAAAATATATATTATTGCCTCCTTGTTTTTTGTTAAGAAATTTGTAAATTGAAAAATTGTAAAAATTGAAATTTGTAAAGTGAAAAAGAGTGAAAAGTGCTGTAACAGATGTAACTCTATGATCTTGATTTTTGGTTTGTGACTGATATTTTTCAGTCACTAAATGTTTTTTCATAGTGTTTTTTTGTTGATGAGGAAGGCATGTATATTTTGTTCCTCTTCAATAACGAGAGTTTATTTTCTTTTTCAAAAGTGCTTAAACGGCTTTAATGCCTGTATCCCCTTTAAACACCCAGACACTTAATATTTCTATTGCCTTTGCCAATTTTAATAGGTATAATCTTTTCTTTGCTTTTCCTTTTGTTTCTTAATGCAGTTTTAATATTACTGTTTGTTCAGTCATACTGTCCTCAGTCATTCTGCCATGCCCCCTCACTGTGTCTAAATTCTGTCCTTGGTGCCACTTTCCATTCTTTTTTCTTCTGTCTGCTTACTGAGTAATGTAATTGTCTTGCTCGTGTGGTGGTCACACAACAAATACTTTTATTTAACTTCAGAGTTAACCCATAAAACTTGTTTTTAACACAGCCAGACTTTTACAAGTTAGATGCATATGGAAATATACATCTGGAAATAACACACAAAAAATTCTTCCTTGCTTTTCATTTAAATGATATTTCTATATGACAACTTCAATAACTATTTCAGGATTGCTTGCTTAAAGAAGTTGCTTGTATAGATAAAACTTTGGAGGATTTTCATCCATTATTGCATAGTGTTGAAACCCCTATATTCCATATTAGGAGACCAAAATATGCCTTACATATAGTCATGGTATTTAGATTAGTAAGTTTAGATTTAGATGAGTAAGAAAAATACTATTAAAAGACTACAAAAACAGTCTGCTGAAAAAAGTGTGTAGGCAGTTTAATAATAGAGGTTGCCTTATTATGAAATGAAGACGAATGTCCTCAAGTAAATGCACGTTATGGTTAGGAATCTCATTCAGTGGTACTTGTTGTGTTCTCTTTTTCAGATATACTCCCCTTGACTACGCCTTGCTTGGTGAGCACCATGAGGTGATCCAGTTCCTGTTAGAACACGGGGCTCTGTCCATAGCTGCCATACAGGACATTGCGGCCTTCAAAATTCAGGCTATCTACAAAGGATACAAAGTTAGGAAAGCTTTTCAAGAGAGGAAGAATCTTTTAATGAAACACGAACAGCTGAGAAAAGATGCAGCTGCCAAGTAAGTCTAAAGACCTGAAATTGAGTGTAATAAAATACACAGTTGTCACACATTTATATATGTCAGTTTTTAATTTTATCTGCTTCTTATTATTACTTATTGTTCATCTTAGTAAAATTCAAAACTGAGCATATAATGGAATTTTATCTGGAATACCATAAATGGGACTTACTTTGCAGATAATCTCAAATAACAAAAACATGGCGAAATACAAAAGGCTGAGAAACTGCTATATAGCCATTCATTAATTTAGATTAAATTTTGAATGATAATAAAAAGGTTTGGAAGACATTTACAACTCTAAGGAAATAATAATTATTATCCTAATGAGTCTGTGATACCAATTTTAATTAATTAGTAATTAAATGAGTAAGAAAATGGAGGTAGAAGAGTACTCTTTGACCAACTTTCTTTTATAGGCAAGGTTGTGTTTTTTTGCAAACTAAACCTTTTGGATTTCATTTGAAAATTTTGTCTTCGCAATGTTAAATACTACACACAGATGTTCTGCTTTTAAATGAAAAAGTTACTGTGTAATCATTATATTAGAAATAGATAATGAGCTTATGCAATTCACGTAATTGTCCGAAGTGAAGGTTCTAATTAAGCTTCTCCACTATATAATTGGTTGTGGAACAAAGTGTTAAAATTGTATGATCAGAAGTTACATAAATAATTGAAATACTTCCATTGCTTGGTTTCTAACCTGAAGGTCCATATTATGAAAAAAAAAGAATGAATTAGCACTTGATATCCAAGATGAAGAAATCTAATTCTGGAATGAAAAGCATGATTTAAAAAGATTGCTGCATGACGGTGTAGTATTCCTGGAAAAGGTGATGGAACAGCTCATCCTGGATGTTATCCCTTAGCATATGGAGGAAAAGAAGATGATCTGGAGTATCCAGCATGGAGTCACCAAGGGGAAATCCTGCTTAACCACCAGATAGTCTTCTCTGATAGAAAAACTGGCTGGGAAGATGAGGGAGGAGCGCTGGACGATGTCTGCCTTGACTTCAGCAAGGCTTTTGGTACCGTCTCCCATAACGTAACAGGCAGGGGTAGTATGAGCTCAGGTAGCAGAACCACAGCGAGGTGGACTGAAGATCAGCTGAATGTCCAAGGTCAGAGGGTTGTGATCAGTGGTTCAGTCTAGTTGGAGGCCTGTAGCTAGAGGTGCCCCAGGGGTCAGTATTGGGTCCGAACCTCTTGAAGTTACTCCAGAGTGACCTGGATGAAGGGGCAGAGCGCACCCTCAGCAAGCTTGCTGATGATCCAGAAGTGGGAGACGTGGCTGATAACCCGGGGGCCGTGCAGCCCTTCAGAGAGGCCTGGACAGGCCGGACAGCTGAGTGGGGAAGAACCTCATGAGGTTTGGCAAAGGCATGTGCAGGATCTTGTACCTAGGGAGGAATAACCCCCCGCACCAGTACAGGCCAAGGGCTGGCCTGCTGGAGAGCAGCTCTGCAGAGAAGACCTTGGAAGTCCTGGTAGGCAGCAGGTTGACCATGAGCCAGCCACGTGCCCTTGTTTCAGAGAAGGCCAGTGGGTCTATTAGAAGAACCTGGTATTAGAGTCCAGTTGATGCAAGGGAGCGTCCAGAGTCAAAGACGCAGTCTCATAGAGATTAAGTCAATGCTCCGTTTATTGCAGATTCCACCACACTTTTATACAGTGA